CAATATTAATCATCATGGTACACTGTAGATGATCTGGTTAGCTCAAACATTGACCATATTTAGTCCCCAAATTCATATGAAATACAGTATATATTCTTAACCAATATAGAAACCAAATTTTCATCCCAAATGTAACTTTTTAAATTAATTTGCCTGAGAACCACAGTAAAAGTTATAATAGATGGCTGAAGATGGACGGCTGGTCAGACAGTCCCCAGAGCTGGATTGCCCCAACGTAATCTTACCAAACTACAGTACAGTAATAGGATTAAGGTCAATTTATAAGGGTTCTAGAATTAATAAACCCCAGTCCTAATGATTATCTAGTAGTTTAGGGCCTACCAGGACTTGGGATTATATCACTTAAATCTGTGAACATGAAACACACGTGACTATAGTATAGTCTGGATTTACTCAGTTTTTGTTTACGCGTTTGGTCATTTACACGGCACCTTGCCAGAACTAAATGTTTTAATTACTCGGTAAATTTCATCATTTACACGGGAAGCGGCGCGGGCAGGGTGCGCACAAGGTCGCCCAGTCATCAAAACATTACCGAGTTCTTCACCCGCCACCCACCACAGCCGGCCCAAGTCAGTGATATAAGTGAGGATATGGACTTTGAGGGGTTTGACAAAGAGGCCCTGCAAGCCTCTATGGTGGATAGTGATACAATTGATACAAGTGATACAGGTGAGGGCCAATAATCTGCCCTCTGCCTCGGAACCAACCCCCCATCCCCGTGTGCCCAGCCATCTTTTCTACTAACGTAAGTGTTAAAAAACCTAATATTATTGATATTTCTCTTAAATATTAATTGTGTGTGCATACCATCATAAAATTAAGATGTTATTTTTACTACAACGTACGTATTGTGTCGGAAAAAGTGGAGTTTGGGGGTCGGCCCAGCCTCTATTTCAATTAATCCCATATGTTCTGTTATTTCGTTCACTCGTTTCTCGTTTTACGCGGACCTCCACAGGTTCAATTGACCGCGTAAATGCAGACTATACTGTATACTATAATTGTGTCCATGTGAGTCGTGACTCACTCACCGCAAGTTAATGCCATAGAAAATTGTTTAGACAATTTGCAGGATGGTTTAGTTATCTTATAAACAGAGCAGTCAGCATCTAACTGCTGTAAGGTGGAAGACCATACAGTGAAACCTCTTTCTAACGGGGAGGAAAGTCTTATGTCGAGGGTCTGTGAGATGTGATAACTTATTAAACTTGATAGGCACAACTTATTGATCTAACCAGAGAAGATGTTCACAGTAAGTCAGGAAGACAAAGCAGAAGACTGAACTAATTCTCAGTGTCAACAATTTCACATCACTAATAATTAAAACAGACTAAGAGATCTTATGATACAATACAATACCTCATCTACCATCACTGGTAAATAAATAATAATCACAGTAAGTTATAAGACTTAAACCTAAACCATTATTGAGCTCAGTTGATTTGAAAGATTTTTGTAAAGGGATGTCAACAAACAATAGGACTTTATTGTCATATCAGAACAGCAGTAAGGTCTGCTAGAAGACTACTTGTATCCACCAAGTCAAAAATACTAATTAAAAACTGTAGATAAAGTTGATGGATGAATAGTATAGCTGGAGACATAGGGTTTGTATATATATATATATATATATATATATATATATATATATATATATATATATATATATATATATATATATATATATATATATATATATATATATATATATATATATATATATATATATATATATATATATATATATATATATATATATATATATATATATATATATATATATATATATGATTTACAATAAGTATTTTACAAAACCATGATTTTACAGCCATACTATAATACTCAGAGGTTAGCAACACTTATATATTGGCTGGAATGACCGTCAATTTAAGGCTTATTTAGAAAATGTTTAGTACCATTAACACCAATAGTTTGGCAAAGTTTATATTTTATCATATTAGAACTGTATGTATGTAATGTATGTATGTATGTATAAAGTAGATGCACAGTTTGGAATTTATTATATTGTTTATGCAAATGATTGAACATTGAAATTAGATGGACTGCCACGGATACCAGCTTTTGAATGATTGGCAACTGTTCTCCCCTGCACCATATCTTGTACCACTGTTGGTAGGCCTTGAGGCAGTGACCATAATGTTTGTGTTCTCATAACTACCCCCTTGGATTCCTAATTAGATATTTTAATTATTTTAGTACTATATAATTAACCAAATTGTTCCATAATCCCATTCCCCCTTTTGTAATCAAACTTAATTAATTATATAGAATGACATGGTATTTAATTCCTTGCACAAATAATACACCGCACTTTAGACATTTGGAATGCTATAGTTTTCCTCAAAGAACATCCTGATATTTATTTATTATTTTTTTTTTCTTTTAATTTACATAATACACTTTCCGGTCATAAATTTGACCAGAGTCAGTCGTCAGAGAAACAAGTGTTCCAGAAGTTGTATTGTGTTACATGTGATGGTTAGTATTGTATTTCCTCTACACACACAGAAGCTTTTGAAGCTCAGTTAAAAGTTTTATTTTGTACAGTTACAAATGAAAGTTTTTTTTTATGTTTCCCTAAGTTCTCATTGAAAAGACATTGTCACCTCTCTGGACTCAGATACTCCAATAGAAGGATAAAATACAACAAGTTTTATGTTTATGTTTACCATTTAGATAACTAGGAAGAAGTTGAATCACGATGCCCCACCTCAGACACCTTGAGTGCATGACCCCTGAGTAGTGCCGCTCTTTGGACTGATCCAACTCCTTGGGATTCAGTTGACAAATATAGTGGACAAGGAACTCAGTTGCAGAGATTGTCAGCTGAAGACTATGGTGGTGTTCCAGAAGGTTCCAGCATCTGCAGCCACGAGATCAACACCAGCAGCAACACTGTTAGTGGTGGTGGTGGTGATGAGGGTGGTGGAGGGCTAACTGTGGGTGCAGGACTCTGTGGGTTAGTGGGTCGTAAGGTCCCCTCACTGCCCCGACTGGCTAGTTTCCCGATCTTCCGCCGCACCCCTGCCCCTGCTGCTACCACTGCCACTACCCAACTCAACATCACCACTACCAGCCACCACAACCACCACAACAGCACTGCGGGTACCATAACAAACACCACAGTCTGCTCCACCACCACCACCACCATCACTATCAGTGACTCTCTGTGCTCCACCACCACCATCATGGTTCCCAAGGCACACATTCCAGCTGACTCACACTTCTAAGAGGCAAATCAGACGTGGAAAGCTTGTAGATTTGATGTCACGTGGACCACAGATACATTGCACATATCACCATCCATTAGTGGGACTTATGCTTGGTCTAGTGTATACAGCAGCACAACAGCTGATGAATATAATGATTTGGAAGAATACAAGTGAAGAACCTTATTTAACTATTCATTGTAAAATGTTCTAAGAAAAGTTAATACAGTATTAGACGGTTCATATACAGTAGAGTTGAGACAGTGTTTATGTAAATATATAAAGGGTCTGTGGGAGGGTTGTAACATTGTGTGTGTGGTAGTTGAATATTTAACATCAGATATATCTGAAGATATTTAATTCACAGGTACATTGCATTAAAACAAAGAACATGGCATCAAGTCTCCGAGCCGAGCTATGCACGCAGAAAGCCCTTGAAGCTTATTTTTTTCATAATGCATTTATATACAAAAATTGCCCATTTTCAATTGTCTCCTTTCGAGCACTTTTGATCCTACTTTGTTTAAGCTTCCAGTTCAAGCATCTTCTGTTTAGTGCTGCACCAGTAAGGAATGATGACCAGTCTTTTACCTCTTATTGATTGAGGTTCATATTTGCATCACAAACTTATTGCTTATCACATATTTCTTTTGCCTCCTGATAATCACATCAATATTTGCATATTTTTATCATTACAATTTTTGAAAAAGTTTTTGTAATTTTTAAGGGTTACCTTCAATATATATATATATATATATATATATATATATATATATATATATATATATATATATATATATATATATATATATATATATATATATATATATATATATATATATATATATATATATATACACAGTATATATATATATACACAGTATATATATAGAGAGAGAGAGATTGGTGAAAACATTATACAGTATATGATATTTAATAACAACTATTTGACCATAATTGTATTTGCATTATGAATTTGATTTTACACAAAAAGAATAAGGAAGGGCCGGAGGATGATGCAGGCAATCTGTGGGATGGATGACCTATCTTTGTTTTGTTAACTAATGTCCACAAGGAAGTCTTCATATCTGTGACTTTCTTCCTGAGGTAGATATGATGATTTCCTTGGTAATGTGATGCTCTTAGGGTTATGTTGGAGGGTGACAGCATGTGTGTGTGGTGCTGCCCCGAGACATGTTGGCGTCCTTATCAACGACACGTCAAGAAAACATTTGTCTTTACAGAATAAATATTTCTCCATACTATGGTACAAAGAAATAATTCTTAAACATATCATACCATTATAGAGAGTGTAATGTGTGGAGTGTCAGTGAAATTTTCTTGAATATTTACTGGGAATCTGGAGAAGATGAATCTATTTAAGAAGGTGTTTTTTTTAGATTAAATCCCTTTTAGGCTTTGAGTGCTTAAAATGTGGTGTACTGCAGCTGATGTAGAATCTTTGTAAGAAATTGTAAAGCCTCTCAGGGAAGATGAGACATCCATCAACGTGTAAAGTATACAGTAATGCAACAGTGTTAAAGGTATGTCAGCTGTTGACATTATAGTAGATGTATTCTTACCTGCCACGTGACACATTTGTAGCATCCACATTTTGTGTACAAATGCTACATTGTGAATGGTGGTTTTTTCTTTTCTTTTTTGTCCGTCCCCTCTCCTCCTAATTTGCCGTGGACGTTGCTTCACCCCGCGTATGGTGCTGCTCTTCCCCCACGACGTAAACAGACAAGTCCAAGTCTCAAGTTGATAGAAGTACCACAGTGATCGCCAGGGACGTTGAAGGTAGGCGCCTCCTTATGCACCTTCTCCCTAATGACTCAAAAAGGGTGATTCAGAAACTAATGAAGTATTGTTATCACCGTAGTTACGACTCTTGTGTAAACCAAATCTCTGAATATTTTCCCTTTTCTAAAATTATTATCCTGATCACGTGGCACACATGAAAGAGTTTATTAGTCTTGTTATTAATTCATTATGCATGGTGGTCTAAATTTATACATCACTCCTCTCAAGTATTCTGGCAAAGCTATTCTGTAGCCAGAGTTTAAGTTCTATATTTTGTAAAAAAAAAAAAAATCATAAAAAAAAACAGCGTAGTTGATTTTTACACAAATTTCAAACTAAATAATTAGTTCATTAAACTGAGCTTGAGAGTATTGGACATGCACTCTGTAAAGTGTATCAGATATTTATTTAGTAAAGTAATTTATTTGAGGGTTTAGTGTCATAGAGAACTGCCTTTACAGCTTCCGAGAATCTCCTGGAGGTCATACAGTAAACGTTAAGAGTCCAATCCTAATGCAAAGTAATTTTTCACTCATTGTAAACTTTTAATATACTGTGTTTGCTGTCAATTTCCGGTTCTGAAGGCATACTCAGAATAATGGTTTCATGTATATGGAAAACTACTTCATAAAGTTAATTCTTTAAAAATATTTCTCTAATTCTATAAATTCTTAGTTTCTCTTACTTCTCTCTTAACACCTGTACTTTGATTATCTACTTGAGAAAATGTAGACCTTAATGAACCTTAGACGAGGGGGTTAAATTGTCTAGCCAATATGTAGCACAAGTCTCGATGCTTAATGAACCACAACTCTGAAATTCAAGTCTTGCTTTATCAGAGTCTTGCTTAATAAAATGTTCACAATCCCAAACATTCATCAGTCAAACCTTAATAGACATATACAGTAGTTTAGCTCACTATATGGATCAGGATATTTTATTAATATGACATTGATTAGCAACATTCTGGATTAGTCTGTGCAGTACCAACAATGTCTCATGGTCACTGAGAAAAGTAAAGTAATGTTAGTTATAATTTGAATGTTTGGGCCTTGACACAATAAAACCACAATTATATAAGAAAATTAATATATTTATGGAGTGATTTGAAGAAGAATTTTTTTATTCATTGTGTGAGTAATCAGAATTTTTTTATTAAAGATTTCAATAACTGAATGAAGATACACAATGTTACTTATACAGCACAGTTATATGATTACCTTGCCCAAGAGTACAGTACAATAATTATAGAGTACTGTACAGGTAGAAATTATGTTACTCGGTAGAACCTGTGATCCATTATCCGTGACATCACTATTGATACTAAAGTAGTTTTTGTTGTTATGTCTCGTTAAATGATGGATCCTCAAAGTACAGAAGGTGTTTTAAACTCTTTTAATCTCCTGTGTTCTCTCTGGTTCAGTTCTATTAAGAGTTTTCAAATTGTTAACAACTTGTTCTTCTTAATTATGTTTACCTTGCATTTTTTCCTTTGATATAATGCTAAAGCTTGATTGTTTTTCTTATATACTATACAGTATTATCCTCTTTATCACCCACGACAGTTTTATCACCACCATCATAATAATCTCTCAGTACAGTGCTATAGGTTCTGTTGTGAGCCTTCTGTCATATTGTACACGCCCGCCAGTCACCCACCATACACAATACTCTGAATGCTTCTCTCCTGCTCACCTCAACCACCAAATTATTACTTTTCTTTTAGCATTGCACTCTGCACGGCTCCAAGACAAACTCAAATACATTTTTTGTCTTTTATCCGAAGTTGTTATTTGCTGACTTTTATATTTTTTTTTCTCACAATTTAAGGACAATTTACCTTTTTTTAAAGCAGTAAATTGTGTCACTTCTTTCGGTGTCCCAAAAAGACAAATAACATCAGAATAATTTAATATTGGTATATATATATTTATACAGTATATACAGTATACAGTATCCCTGGTACATAACCGAGATCTTTCCTGGTACATAGTACAGTAGAGGGGTGTCTTATGATAGGGCTTCAGGTGCATGTCATACAATGTGAAAAATGAAAGAAAAACAAAGGGACAGTATACTATTTTGTCCCCCTTACATATAGCTGGTAATGGTTGTAGTCAGAGATGAAATACTAGAAGGGATCTAATTTTGGTGTGATTATTAACTTTAGATATGATAAAAATAACATTAGATCTTTTTTTTGGGGGGGGGGGGGTTAGGGTTAGTTTCCATGTTCCTCCCTAACATAGAACAAAATGTAGAGTTATGTCAGGAAAAATGTACAGTCTGCCTCCACTTATGCCTGGTGCAGTGGCTGGCTCATTTTTTGAGATGTGGCAACTCTGAGGAATGTTTATCTGGCATCCTTATTGTGGCTACTTTGAGGTTCCTTAGGGTCATTATAGGAGTTTTTATATGATGTAAACAAACACAGATTTGGCACGTCTCACAAAATACACCAGACACTGTAGTACCAGTTATAAGTGCAAGTGGCTGTACACTGAATTGCATCTTAACCTTAGCAGTTGTTGCAGTGTGTTGAGTCATTAAGTGTATCAATGGTGATATACTATAGTAAAAAAAATTGGTGTTAATGGTTTAATAATGCTTTTCACAGGTAGTTGTCACACAATTATTAATTACTAATCTTTTTGGGTTTTTTATACTACATTCCTCAGATCATCAAACTGTACTGTAGTGACACACTTTAAACTCTCAGCTTCTCAGTGATAACATGAGATAATGGCCAGCCTATCTAGTAGAACACTCCTCTTTAGGATATATTTATTTTACTCATAACTTGCACACATCATCATGAAAAATAGCTTCATAATATTTTATTTGAAAGATAATTTGCAAAGTAAAAGAAAAGAGAACTGTTCATAATGGTAAATGCTCACCTTACTAGACACTGGTGTGGAGTTTATGGACAGCTGCCAGAGATGATGATGCAGACGTGTGTGTGTGTGTGTGTGTGTGTGTTGTGTGTGTGTGTGTGTGTGTGTGTGTGTGTGTGTGCTCACTGGGATTTTAAATAGAAACAAAATAAGTACAGTTACATAAAATATTTGTCCATCATTTAATATGTGATAAAGTTGACTGGCATCACTGTCTCGGTCATCCAGATCATTGAATTGTGAGTTTTTTGCTCGATGATTCTCAGTGTTAAGGAGCAGGAGCTGTTGTTGTGTGGTCCAGTATAGAGATTAAGATCATTTATAGTCACTTGCTTTTGATGCCATATGTCAAGATTTGAAACTTTAATTTTGGATAAAAGAAGGTATACTGTACTGTACAGTAGTAAATGAGTACTGTAGAGAAAGGGGCTATATCATCATGTTCAACACTTATGTATTTTTGGTCAGTCAAGTAACTTATCTTGCCTCCAAGAAGTTATTTCATTTATTAATATCAGTCAACTATATTTGTATTTTGGTTTAGGTTGTGAGCACATGAGCCTCACCATGAGGACAACGGTGTAAGTGGGGAACTCAGACTTACTGATGAGAGAGACACACATTCCTAAAGGATTTAAATGTACTGTATAACAATAATAATTTGATATTAGTGCACAGGTGCACAGTCTACCTGGAAACACAAGCCTTTATCCTGCCATAGCAAACATAAGCCAATAATGTCTGGTGTCACAGGCGGGGAGGAGAAAACCAAAGCTACTGCAGCATCAGTGGTGGGCGCCATGGCTGGCCTTAAGAACAGTTTATTATCTGGAGGCGGCTCTGGTGGGAGTACTGGTGGTGGCGGTGGGGGAAAGCCGACAACAGCTGCAGGTAGTGGCGCAGGGGGTATTATGGCTGCTGTGGCTGCTGCTGCTGCTGCTGCAGCTTCATCTACTGCCCCTGCCACACAACCTGCAGCAGCAAATACTTCCACTTCTAACAAAGAGCATAGATCTGAAAGTAATGCAGAATCTGTACGTCCCGACCGCAAGTCCAGTAGCGGCCAGCTGAGCAGTGCCCAGCTGAGCATCAATCAACTTAACAGCGGTAAGTGGGCGTGATGCCGGCGTGATCCCGGCGTGATCCCGCACGCCCACGCTACCCACAGGGGCCACCACCAAACATGGGACTGCCCCATAACAATCCACCAAAACTAACAGTTCATGAGTGAAACACGTCAACCAGTCAACACAGTACCTGCCTGCTCCGTGCTCACAACAGACTAGCCGTACTACATAGTCACATAGACACAATTGTCGCCTGCAGTTTTCTATATTAGATAACGAGTTATTTTCAGTACATTAATTGCAGATACTAACTAAAAGTGAGTGTATTTTACATAGAGTAATAGATTTTGACTAACTCAAAAGCATGTGTGTTATATGAGTTACTTATTAATGCACTGAATCAAGGAACATCCTAGACAAGCTAGAGAGCGAGCTACAGTTTTATAAGCATGTAAGCCATACTATGACTTGACAGTTTATTATATATAAATATATATATATACATGTATATATATATATATATATATATATATATATATATATATATATATATATATATATATATATATATATATATATATATATATATATATATATATATATATATATATATATATATATATATATATATATATATATATATATATATATATATATATATTTCCATAATTCACTTATTGTTAGCCTTAATTGATCGTGCTTTTATATTTCAAGTACAGTACATGTGGATAAGTGCCCAGATATGGATGATTGTATATAATATTATTTGCTGCATGGTCAGCTGGCCAAAGAATGCTCATTTGTTTTGGACATAATCAGTTATATTCCTCTACAGAGATACGCAGTGGAAACATGACCCATTCGTTGTATCCAAAATTTTTGAATTTGGTTTATGTCGCATGTTTTGACATTGTTCATTACAGTAACATATGCAGAAATATTTCTGTTGCATTTTTATATTGGAATTGGCTACAATTTTATACTCCGTATTGAAAGTCATGTTCTTTTACTTTGAATTTATTACTGAAACACAGAACATTTTATCATTTGAAACATGTCTATTGAGTTTAATTCCACAAGTAGAGTGAAAACTGGTCAGAAATATCTTACACGGTGTAGGTATGACAACAAAATCTGGGATGTGAACTGTGAAGTGTGCATTTTTAGGGATACTGTATTGATATTAATTCTCCTACAGTGTAATCTAATGTATTGTAACATAGATACTGTATTAGTAAAGTAAATTTAGGAAAATAGTTTAGTGAACGTATATATGCATAAAGAATTATTTACTGTATAATTTAGCGATAAACTTCTTAGATTCGTTATCCAAAATTACCCGATAGATTAGGTCGGAGGCCCATTTTATATCATGCAGCTCTAGCTCGCAGTAGTCCACCTCTGATGGGTCCTACTCTGTCCATGATCCCGTAAGATAACTCATCATCATCATCTGGGAAATATGGAACTTGTGTTAAGAGATTTAGGTCTGTCCCAAAGTCTTAATGTGTGGCCCCTGGTAGATGTGTACAAAAAGCAGTGTGTAGGTTTGTGCTGTGGAGGAAACCTGACACCACTAAAGACAAGAGTACTGTAGACGTAAACAGTGTTAGAATCCAAGTCACTCGTAATGGGGGCGATGTGAATCACAAGACAACAGATCGTGTGACTTTACCCTCATGCCAAAAGAGATACCTTTGCTTTTAAACAAGATTCAAATTTTACACTACATGAGACTGAATACACCAGAAAAGATGAGAGGACGATGAGTGAAGATGTTAAAAATAATTTGGTGTCATTTCACAAGTTCACCAGAAGCCAAATACTGTAAAGGCAAGTGATAATGTTGGCTCTTAATGGTCAAATACAGTGAAACAATTTGCAATTGGAAGATAAATCAACTCATCTACTAGTCATAACTGATAAAATCAAAAGGATGATAACCAACTGAAAGGAATTATTTCTCCAAGTTGAAGTTGATTTGTACTGTAGTCTCTAAAATGGGTGAAGAGGCAGCACTTGAGATATACCAGTAGTACAACCAACAAAAACTTCTGTTGAGAAAATCCCTGGATGGAGGAAGAACTCCATTAGATTAGAAGCAATTGTGTGTTACCTTGATGTTCAGACTGGTTATGGATATACAGTTCTGAGAGATGTGATAATATACAATTGACAGCAGTGGCAACTGAGGGAGACGTAACGTACGCCTCAGTCTGGTGTAGCATCTTGGCCTCTTGTGACTATGTGATTCATTTACTGTGGAGTACCATGGTTTATTGCTCCTTATCATGTTTACAGTCTTTCACAATGCTGGTACTTACTGCTTTAGCTCTGTTGCCAAGAAAAAGGAAGCGATCTTTACTAATTACTAAGAAAATTAAAGAAAAATACGAGGAGAATATGGCAGACGCATTGATGGTGTTTGGCATTGAGACTTACACAGATGTGTATGTCTTAGTGATTGTGATATTTTATTGTTTATTGCTTAACTCACCGTATTTGTTGGTATGTCCTGAGTATGATATTATTTTTTATTTAATCTTGTACTGTGAATGATCACGTGGGGAGTTTTTACATATTTAGGGAGTGGCAAATAGGTGCTGTTAGGACGATGCCTACGGAGATGTACGTTATTTGATAAGTTAAAAACTACAATATACAGTACAGGATCTTTTATGATTGAATTGTAAGATGAAGTACATTATATGTAATGTATGTATGGTTATGCTTTTGTTTCTCTATAAGTCTAGTGTATTTTTAATGTACTGCCAGTTGCCGAGGTAAAGTGGGTAGAGCATAGCTTGACCAATGGATGCCAGGTGTCAGTTGTACTCCTTTATGGTGGTTACTTCCATGTAGGTTGATTCGTTGTAGTTATACAACACAAATTGTTGAAGGTGTAGAGTCTGCTGCCAAGTGATCAGAGACACCATTACCGTAATTAGCAAGGTACTGTATATGACCCAGTGTTAAGGAATAACCCAGGAAGTTTGGACAACTGGCCAGCCACACTGGATAAATGTTACCCCGGAACATAATCCACCATTTATATAACATCCCGTGCCCCAATTACTATTCAGTAAACAGAGGAAAATTGTGTCAAGAATCTTGCTTATAGTTTCACCCTGCCTGAGGGACTAAACCAAGAAACACTCAGTTGTGCCGGGAGTTATAACCTCTACACCGCAGGTTGCCATGAATTATGATTACACAGTACAGTATACAGGTATCCCTTATTATCCAGTGGGTTAGGCTCCTTGAGACCCATTTTTATATCAAATTTTTGGTTCACAGACAACAACGAAAATTACCTAAGTACTACTAAAATTTAGTACCTAATTACTGTATGGTAATTACTAAACTAAATAAAATATACTGCACAGTTAGTACAGTACCTTGTCAGAGGGCAGTCAGGGCTCACCACAGGGATGAATTGAATTTTTGATCAGACCAGCTTTTGAATAAGCGAGGATCAGTTTTGGATAGTGAAAGAGATGTAAGAATAAAAAAATTTGAATAGTGAACATTCAGATAATTATGGATACCAGAATATAAAATTTCCTTTTACTGTGTTATGCACCTGCAATAATGTTAATTGATCTGATTCAATACATAATGTTATAAGTTTACCCAACACTGTCATCTCCAGCCACAACCAGTTTTACCAACTCATCAAAGTACAGTCCAGTAAAGTTTTGATGGTACAGTATACAGTATTCTTAATTCTTTCTCTTTTCTCCTCTCTCTCTCACCCACACATAAACAACTGTATATTAACAGAAGATCTGGGGCTACCTATACCGGCAAGTGAGTCTCCCTCTTACTTTTACTTACTTTTATCCTCTTCACCACTGATCGGCTCACTAGCCACTTGGGCGATCGGTCACGTCTCTGTTAAGCACTGTTTGCAAGTACTGGGCATGCACCGGCTCCTGAATGTACCTGAACCTGCTCCAGTGTAGGTCAAGTCTGGTTTTGAAAAAGCTTAGACTTGGTGCCGTCACAACACTTTCTGGTAGATTGTTCCAAGAGTTCACAACTCTCACTCCAAAAAAGTTTGCCCTCACAGTTTTCTGGACCTGCGGCATCTTCAATCTTGAGCTGTGACTCCTTGTGGGGCGAGCATCCGCCAGCTCCAAGTAAGGACACTCGACTGAGTAGTGCCCCTTGAGATGCTTATACACCTCAATTAGGTCGCCCCTTGCCCATTTGTAGTATAAGTTAGGCAAGTTCAGGCGCTCAAATCTCTCAGGGTAGCTGAGGTGCCGAAGTGCAGGCACCAGTCTGGTGGCCCTCCTTTGAACATTTTCAACCAACTGACAGTCCCTAGCATATCTTGGGGACCAGACGGGGTGACAGTACTCTAGATGGGGAAGTACTTCACTCTTGAAGATCATTAAAGGGACGGACCGTCTAGATATCTGAACGACCTTCTTATAAGACCCAATAATTTATTTGCCTGATTTACCTTCTTCTCGCAATGGACCGAGAACTTCAGCTCATTGTCAACATACACACCTAGGTCCTTCTCACATTCAGTCTCAAATAGTGCAGTTGCTTCATCCCATTGGGACATATGATACACCTCCTTACTCTTGGTATGCCCCAGGCGCATCCTCTTACACTTCGTGACATTGAATCTCAGCAGCCATTTGTTCGACCATTCTTGGAGCTCACAGAGATCCTTCTGCAGCTTTTTACAGTCTGCATGGTTCTTGATTTCCCGAAATAACTTGGTGTCATCAGCAAACATTTGTATGGAGGAGTGTACAACATCAGGCATGTCATTTATGAAACAAACAAACAACAGCGGGCCCAATACACTGCCCTGTGGTACCCAGCTTGTGACAGGTACAGATGATTATTTCGTGCCATTAATCACCACACACTGCCTTGTGGTCATGTAGAAAGTCTTCTATCCATGCTAGGACATTTCCCCGAATTACGTACCCTTCCAGTTTGATTTTCAGCCTTTCGTGGGGTACACTGCCGAAAGCCTTGGCAAAATCTAGGTATATATCGTCGATATTACCACCC